GCAGCGATCTGTAAACTAAGATCCATTTCTCCGGCCTTCGCTCAAGTGGCTTTTTCAAAGGCGGCCGACACTTCAGAGGTGTCGTTGAAACCATCTCGAGATTCTGAAATGGATGTGGGGGATGTCGTTAAATGAAGGAGTGGGATCTCTCAAGCATTTCTCATTCCAATAAGCCCAAGGAGTGCGTTTAGATTCACAATGGTTCCACTCGGCTAGAGAGAAACATTTTCTGAATTTAAACGCTAACCAGTTCTGCAGCAACCCCCTTCGCTCACATGAAGCGTTAAATTCAACTCAAAGCAGCAGCAAAAGAGATTTACATTTTCCGTATACAGGCTTTAGAGCCTTTGGGTTAGCAGAAGAAGATTTTTCATGAGGAGATTTTTATTTTTCTCTCCCCAAATCCCATCTATGAAATTTTGCAAAGTTTAATCATGGCTTCTGTTTACGCCCCTGGGTTTTGTCTGTTAAGCTGTTGCCCTCCAGCTGGGAAACATAAGAACATTTCATCATAAGCTGTTCCAAAGTCTGATTAGAGATTTCACAAATCATCCCAACCAGGACTGTTCATCTAAATGTTACTCCCTCAAATATGGGACTTGTAATTATGGGTTTTTTATGTGTGGCCTTCCTGGTGTACAACAGCAACACAGAACCTTCCAGCTTTGAAAGAATGTCTCATTAAAAAAACTTTTTCTGACAGCAATTCTCTGAGCAATTCCACCGCTGTGAGATTTACTTCAGGTTTTATAAAGGAGATAAACATTTACAGATTTAAACAGTCGTCTTACCCGCATGCCCAGCTCGATGTTCTCGCCTCCGTAGACCTCCATGCCCGGATCCAGCAGACCGATCTCACCAAAGTACTCCCGATCCACCACGAAGGAGCAGCCAATCATAGCTGGAGTTCTGTATGAGCAGAGAGACAGCATCTTTTGAGTATCATTATTCAGCCACTAAACATTTATCAACCCTCAGAGAACACTAAAAAAAAAAACCCAGATGCAATCAAAGCAGTTTTTTCTGAATCAGAATAAAAAAATACATCAAGGATTAGTTGCAGCATGTCATGTGTCACAGCACAGTCTTAAGATTTATCTGTTCAATCAACGTATATAGCTTTAATATAGAACATTGCAGGGGTTTATTCATACACTGTGATGTCGAACTTTAATATGTTTTTTTAAAGAATCTTTTAACCTCTTATGAAGACTGAGCATCTCATGTACTGGAGGTAAAATGCAATTTGGTTGAAACTGTGGTTAGTGTGCAACATAGAGGGATTTTCAGTTGCTTTAGAATGGCCTGTACAGTACAAGGTTCAGATACAGCTGCTATGGTGTATTCTTTTATACTTTCTTTTGAGAGCAGAGTGACTCTGCACTGTGAGTGACAAATTTGGAAAGGTTAGAAGGATGAATTTATGAAAACTATCTGACGTTGCCATCAGACCAGTTTAATTCAAAATGCAGCCACTGTAATTGAGACAGAACTGCCTTTTATTCAAACACACTGCACCAACTGGAACTGGATTTCTCTCTATTTCAGGATGTCAAGTTGAAGCTCAGTGATAAAGTAGCATATCCCTGCCTCATAACCCAGCTCAACTGATGCACCGATGCATGTTTAATTCATGCTGGGGATCTACAGTGTCTGTATGGGTCAACTAACCCTCCTTCATGGTCTTTTTCTGTAAGCAGATATAGGGTTACTCTCTGGCGTTGCTTCCTTGCAGGCATGGAAATTAATTAAATGACTTGCACAATTAAATACCAACACACGTAAAAGAGATCAGAGAGGGAGTGAGAGATCGCTCGTGCAGACAGACAGACAAAAACTGAAACTTTTAACTGGTAAATCATTTGTTATGCTGTAATTCCGTGTAGCCTAAGCATCATGTTTATGAATGAAGCGTCTGAAATTACATTGCATTACACACATCAAATATGGCACGTATGAGGGTCTGCTGCTTGAAAATGTGTGGAATTTGTTACAAACGTTTCAGCAGACAGTTAACTACTTACACATCCAGCAGTAATGGAGCAATATTAGCATTATTTTAAAATGTAAGAAAAGATGGTGATTGTATGTGTCTTATATTGTCTTCAGGGCAATTTTAGTTACCAACTACCAGTAGATGTTAGAGACATAACTTCAGTTGTGCACCTGAGCATCATCGAGTGTTTTTACCTTGTAATCTATGATAGAGGCTGAACTTGAGGGTACACTGAGGCTAAAGTATATCTGACTGGCTACTGGCTTGTATGGCAGGACTATGAAAGCCATCAGACATCTTTATCTCCATGCCATTTAAACTAAACGCTGACCCATTATAGAACATAGGACAAGATGGAGAATATCCCTTCTACGTTCTACCGCACTAATTAATGCCTACCGCCAGGTCAAGGTAGCGGATGTTAGCTTGATCTTCTGACAGTATTTTCATTGTGAGCTTTTAGATTACTTCTGATTCAAAGCGACAATTTAGTTAAATTGTTTTCTTTGTCAGACAGCCCGTTGCAGCAGTACGAATGTCAAGTTATTTTGCACTTTTACTGCAGAACATCATGCATAACAATGTATATTAGACCTCAAATGTTTTTATTATAATATGGAGTGACCATGAAGAATATGAATCAAAAGTCCAGTTCACGCCTCTTGCTCCTGCTGTGGGCCAACAAAGTCAAGTAAGTGGTTGTGTTAACATGTGACATGCAGGCTGTATCTTTTTATAGTTTACATAATGTATTCCTCAAGCTGAGATTTGCAAGCTTCACGATTCAGTGTGAACATTGTAATACAGACGCAACGTCTGGTGGCCACGCTGGCCTTCTCTCAAAGTGCCATATATGACAGCACTTAAAAAGCCTTTATAAAAACTCTCCAGCTGACTGTGGTCCTTCAGAAGAGCAAGAGAAACAACCACCATATGAGGACACAGCTATTCTTGAATTTTGAGTGCAGGAGAGGAACATACATGTATGAAAACAATGATTATGTAGATATAAGCGGTGTTTATTTATGGGAATGACACAAGAGAAGAAAAACACAATTCAAACAAAGAGCTCAAAGTACAAAGTGATACCAATATTGATGCATTTCTGTTTGTGTGAGTGATGAAATCTCTCCTCTGTAAAAACCTTAGTCACAAAACTTATAATTTAAAAGAGAACAAAGGTCAAATCCACAACATTATTAAAATGGTTGTGTCTATGTTTCCTGCACTCCAACATCCAACCATATAAACAAAAATAATAATAAATAATAACTTATTTGTGAGTTTGACCTTTCGGAGCTGCGTCCTTTGTGGATTTTGTTCTTTAAAGGAAGCTTGTCTTAGTTCACTGTATATTCTCTCCAGGCAGAGGACAAACTTGTAACTGTACACTGTGTAAAATGATACAGCCTTTGTTGTTCCACACTTCCTCCATTGCTGAGCTGACCTTAGCTGGGCTCTCATTCTCACAAGGGTACACACGCAGACAGTACCTTTCACTACTTCATGTTTCTGGTCATTCCTCTTCAAAAGGTGCTTTCTGTCTCATTGTACTTACTTTATCAGTGTTCGTGTCATTTTGGGAAAAGCACTAGAGAAACTTAAAGCTTGGATCCATAATCCATAATCTGTTTCATAAACATTTTTTTTATCTTATTTGTTGAAATCCTCTTCACGCTGATGGCCATCAATGAATACATTTTTCTTGAAAATAAGGGGCCCTCGCAGTGCTGTTAAAGACATGGACCGAGTGAAACGATTGGCTGCGTTACCTGTCTGTCACTAACCAACCTGCCTGCTTGTGCACACCCTATGTGTGCTCTCACTGCACGAGTCGAGTCTTCAGTGTGAGAGACATACACAGCTGAAACAGAGATGATTGCCAGAAGTTAGCGAGAGAGTCACAGTAAAGTCTGCTTCTAGCATTTTTCAGTTTATCAAATGCATATTTTCAAAGGAACTTTTCCAGGATTACCAATCCTAGCTTTAACTTGTATATTTTCCCATTTTGTTTTGGGGTCTTTTTCAGATTTCTTCTTACAGTTATTTATGCAATTAAGCGTGATGGCAAAATGTGTTTTTTTTATTGCTAGTAAACAGCAAGAGACCATGACCTACAGTTTTTACATTGTGTCTACCACCATTTACTCTTGTTTTGTTGTCAGGAAGTCAAGATTGAAAACCACTTATTATTAACTTCCTGCATAGAGCATACATGTATGACAGCATGTCAGCTGTCTGTCGGCTTTCGTCTCTGCTGTGTTTTACCACAGTACTTTTAACAGAAGATGTGGAGCAGCTCTTTGTTGCTTCCTCTTCTTTGAACTCAGTTTTCTGTGAAGGCACTTGCAAAAGCCTGAAATGTAACACTGCTGCAGTACGTTGAGTTTTCAGTGAGATGCACCTGACATTGAATGAAATGTAGAGGCACTAAAAATGTAAAATACACTGCATAACAAAAATAACTTCCAGGATGTTGCAGTACCTTCTACCGTTATTCAATCTCAAATGAGTCCACATTTGAGATCCAAACACATTGGTATGAATGGGTTAGGGTTAGTGCGCTGCGTAGGACCATTTCTTTCTGCTGTGTGTACATACATGCGTCCTGGGCCACATTGAACGACCGCCTACTCAGCTGATCCCCTCTGACAGTTTCATAATGACCTGAAAATATTTGTTCACTTCTTAGTGTTTCTCACATTGATTTACTGTATTTATAGTGACCTACTTAAAGCGGTTCACCTGTGATTAACCAGAATTAATATTAATGCCAGGTATGAACATGACCACAAGTTAATGATTATAGAGAAGCACTTTTTTTTTTTGTATTTAAATATTTTTATTTAGAGTGTCATTTATAATTCACAGATTATTCTTTACCAATCATTGATCTTTCTCTTTATTATTCTCTTGTTTAACACATATATACACATTTTATGTTGTATTAACCTGACTGTGTATTTTATTAATTTACTGACAACTTCTTTTTGTCTTCCTTCAGGTTGCGGCTGGTTGCAGGGCCCCGTGGAAGCAGAAGAGCCGTGCCATTCCCCCCTTTTGTCCTCTCATGCCCCCCCTCCCCCCGTGTGTTCCCCCTGTGTGTAAGTGACCCCACACCCCCACCCGCCCCCAACCTGGTCCCTCCCGTTGTGCCGTCACTCCATCCGAAGCACCCCTCTCACCCCATGCTTGGGACAAAGCCAGCTCACTGCCAGCCCAATGACTGCCTGGATCGTCCTGCCTGTCAGCCTGTCTGCCTTCTCCATCACAGGAATATGGATTGTGTGAGTCAGATCGAAGTATTTTGTGTTCCTGTGACACCTGGCAATGTTGTTTACAAGTTGCAAAAGGGAATAAGTTGATTGCAAAGTCAATTCAAGTGGGGTTTTTTGTGCTGAATAACCTCTTTGCATTAAGGCCAGTGTAATCTTGGTAATTGATTATGGTTGTACTTGATTCATCAGAGGTTTGAACACGGTGACATTTGCCATTTCTTGCTTTAAAGTATTCTTTACCCTACAGATACGCCATGGCTGTGATGAATCACCACGTTTGTCCTGTGGAGAACTGGTAAGTCTTCTGTTCATCTAATTTCATTCCAGAAGCTCTAAGCAGGAAATGAATAAAACTCATTGTTTCCCTGCTGCAGGTCTTACAATGTGACGTGCACAGAGGAGCTGCCCCGACCAGGCTTCCCCAAGACATGCTGCACCATCCAGGACATCCCACTCATCAGGTCTCCTGCTCCTCCTCCTCCCTGAGCATCATGTCTGTGTCTCTGCAGAATACAAAAGCAGTTTTGTGTCGGCGAAGGCCCAGAGGCAGGATTTAGTTCTTGTCATGTTGTGGCTCTGTGACGGTCATTAACCCGCGCTCTGCATAAAATGCATTTGTTTGATTTGCAAATAAGCCTCTAAACACAGGCGAGTACAAAAGCTGTCTTGTAAAAAGGCATCATATGACTTGTAGGCCTATTAGCAGTGAACATGAAGTAAAGTCTATTTCAGTTTTACAGCTACATATTAGAGCAAAGTGTCGTTCACATCACTTTATTTAGTCCTGTTTATATTGACTCTTCATGTCTGCACAGCACATTGATTATATGATACTGAGAGTATTTGTGTCTTCATGTCCGACAGTAAATGTGGCTCCTTCCCTCCTGAGAGCTGCCTGTTCAGCCTGATTGGCAACGTTGGAGCTTTCATGGGTGAGAACTCATTCTAGAACACACACGCACACACACGAACACACACACACACACACAAAATATTGTGTGTTCAAGAGTGCGTCCTTTAGTGAAAAGTACTTATTTACTCTGAGAGTTAGATGATCATATTGATAGTATTCCATTCACTGCATGTCTGTACAGTAAACATGAACCCTCTACCAGGCGATGGTCAGCTTTGCTTAGCATAAAGACGGAACAAGGAGAAACTGCTTGCTGGTTCCAAATGTCCAAAATTGAGTAGGTTTGAAAAAAATGTCTAAAAAAAATAATAATCACAGTCAATTAAATATTCCTTAAACTTTTGCAGTGAAATAATAATAAAATGCTGAATCGCTTTCCACAAATGTTGGGTACTGTGGTGTAAAACTCATTGTTACATGCAAATGAAGAAAATCTTTAATACACACACAATGACTGAGGTTACAGTTGAGGTGAGAAGTGTTTAATGTCTGTCTCTCCTGTAAGGCCTCTGTTATATCAGTCCTCTATGGTGCCCACAGACGTCAGCCACTAACCTCCAAGAGATGTGGAGTGGCTTGAAATAGCCCGTGCTCTCTGATCAATAATGAATGCGGCTTTCCTTCCACTTCCCCCCTGTGTCCTCTCCTCTGCACATGCCCTGTGTGGCCTTCCTCCATTACTCCTCTGCCTATCTTGTTTTATCACCATCAGCTCTGCCCCAATTTCCCCCCTTCTGTCCCTAATTGCGTCTCTCTGCTGCTGTTTTCACTGTCACATCATTATTCATGTCAACTTCTTCTCATATGCAGTATATGACAAGTTTATTCGAGTGCACATCTTTTGTTTTCTCCCATTTTTACTTTCTGTCATTCCTCTGTTTTTCTCTCACTAGTGTCAGAACTATCCTTTAGCTCTGATCTTTGCTTTCTATATGGTAAAGGAAAATGAGAACGAAAAACCAAGCTAGATAGTCCAACATCAGCCATTGCATGACCCTCCACCATCCATGTATAGGTAAACCTATAACCAAACAAGAGCATCGTATTGACACAAGCATTTATATAGCATTTGTATAAACAGAAAAAAGCTATTCATTATCATTATTATGATTGTATAGTTCTAATTGTATTAGCGTAAACGTGTATTGTCTTCTCTTGTGTTGTTCAGTGGTGATGGTGTGCCTTCTGCGCTACGCCCAGGTGATCGAGCATAGCCACAGATGTTGGGTCAACACCAGCGCTCTGGTGTCTGGCTGCACCAACGCTGTGGGTCTGGTCATGGTGGGCAACTTCCAGGTAAATTTCAGCTGCGATGACATGAACTCACTCAATTCTTAAACCATTCACTCCTTTTTTTAGACCTTAGATGAGTGCAAACGATTACTCCAAAGTTTCTGTACGTCTGTGTTTCCGATAGGTCGATCATGCCAAATCTCTACACTATGTGGGCGCGGGTGTGGCATTTCCAGCCGGGCTGCTGTTTGTGTGTTTGCAGTGTGTGCTCACCTACCGTGTAGCTGTCACTGCCCTCGACTACTGGATGGCTCATTTCCGGGTGGCACTGGCACTGGGAGCCATGGTCTCACTCGTCCTCAGTATCCTTTACGTGGGTTCCTGTTGATGATCTGATAAATGACAACAGTCTATCCTAGTTGAATATGCTGCATTCACTGACTGGTGTCCTGTCTGATTAGAGCGGCAAAGCAATTGCAACTTAACCCTGATCATATTATGAATGAACATCTGACATCCTGAGGTTCAGCTGCTTGTGATGCATCCCATTATAATATATCAAGGTTATCAGTCTGTTGACATTACTTATTCTCTCCTTCCTGTGCCTCTGTGGAGTCAGTCAAATGAAAAAGAAAAACTTTATTCTTTATTCTTGTAAAGTTACAACTTTATTTCTCATAATATATTGATTTTATTCTTGTGGAGATCTCAGGTTTTGTCCCTTAAACTGGCCCTAATTCTCTGCCTTAGTTGTCATGACTACGACTGTGTGCATCTCATTTACTTTAAACTGAGAATCTCGGAAGTTGTGTGTCTTGGTGTCTTCCCACATGGAAAAAGGGGCTCTACTTGTTTTGCTCATGCATGAACCAGCACTGTTTGTCCTCCTCAACCTGTTCCTCCTCAGGCGGTATCTTCTTCATCCACGAGAGCTTCATCCTGCAGCACGCCGCAGCCATCTGCGAGTGGGTCTTCACAGTAGACATCCTGGTCTTTTACGGAACCTTCACCTACGAGTTTGGCACCGTCACCAGCGAGACCATGATGGCAGGCCTGCAGCGGAGTCACCACGGCTCAGGCGTTATCATAGGCCCCAGGGCCCGGGGCTCGACACTAAGCGGGGCAACTAAGGGCCTCAAGTCCCCCGGGGGGAGCAGCACATCCACACATCTCAACTGTACCCCGGAGAGCATCGCCATGTTGTAGCTCTGCATCACTGCCCGAGGGTGTGAAATGTCCCTGCAGAGGTGCTTCATGGTCTCACGCAGCGAGACGAGATGACGGAGGCAGCGTGTGGACGAAGAGAGTAAGGTCTGATATCTTAAAGCATTGAACCAACACCAGGTTGACCCCAACTATAAAACTATACCATTGTTTTATTTCTATTACCATTGGTGCAAGCCCCTGCACCTACATGTACTGTAACATTTTCTGTAGCGATGTCTTGAGGAGGGCTGAATGTGTGGAGCCAGTGTGAATGCTGGAACCATGAATGTTTTTAAAATGGCTGTTGATTTTGGCAGTTTTTCATTGGAATAGGTTTTAGTTTGGTTTTCTTTAAATAACTGTGTGTCATGGTGGAAAATGTAAATTACTTAAACCCACAAGGTATTTTCTCCCCCCCCACAGACACCCCTTCAAATGCTTCTGCGTGGCCCACCTGTTCTGGCCTTTAGCTTATCTCTGCACGGCACACTTTTTTGAATGAGAGAATAACAATTTTGCGTTTGCGTAGTGAGTAGAAAACACTGAATGTTTGAGATGTGAATAGTTAACAGTTATGTATGTTTTACAGGCTGTAAGCATATGGCCTTTTTAAAAATCAATCAAGCAGAAATCATCTGTCAAATGATTTGGCAAAAAAAAATCATTGCTTTCACCTGACAATTTGATTTAGTTGCAAAGATGATTTGAAAGCAAATTTTGATGGTATTTTTAAATCATTTTACATAATATATGTATGTGTATCTTCAGCCATTGTCATTCCTGAGGTCATGATCCATTTCACTGACATATGCAAAAAAAAAAACTGGTCTGCTCTGTTGTCTACAGCAGAGTAGGGCCACTTAAAGGGGAAGAAAATCAGAGACTTTTAGAATGTAAACGTAACATTCGGAGAATATAGTCGTAATTTAATGAGAACATTTTTTTATTTTTTGGGGGAAATAAACAGCGAGTTGTACTCTTTCTAGTTTGAGTTCCAAAATCTTGGACCAATCCCATTGTTTCTTGAGAAACTGAAAATCCTTTGAATATCACATAGATGTGACCAACGATAGACCACTACCCAACAATCCCTCCTCCACACAAGAGGCAACAAGTCAGTGTGGCTTTCTGCAGAATAGACATATTTTGTACAATCTTTTCAGTCCTGGTACTTGTGATAATGTAATATTATAACTTTATTCTTGTAAAATTACAGCTTTTTTCTTGTGATACCAAACATTATTCTCATGAATCCCTTTTTGTGGTAATATTACGACTTAATTCACAAAATCTCTGATAATTCTTTCCATTTCAGTGGCCGTGATACTCCGGTGTAGTTGTCATGACTACGACTGTGTGTGTCTTAATCACTTTTAACTGAGAATCTCTGAAGTTGTGTGTCTTGTGTCTTTCCATTATTGTCCCACAGTTTGCATGACCTGATGACTTGTTTGTAACATTTACCTTCATGCTACGTTGGATTTCTCACACTCATGTCCTGTGCAATAATCTCCATCAGTCATGTGATAGTTAACACTCAGCTGGAGTGAATAATGCCTTTTTCAGTGTGTTGGAGTTGAACACAGGGCTCTTTTTGTTTAAAAAAAAAAACAAACAAAAAAAAAAGTGTGACACCACAACATTTGAAGTGACCTGCAGTTTAAAGTCCAATTATTATCTGACTAACACATTTACAGAATAATGCAATTGTTGTCAACACACGGATTTGATTCCAGGCTGGCCCCTTGGAAGCCTTATTTGATTTTTTCTGTTTTAATAAGTGATGTGAAGCCTGCTCAGTAGTTACAGGTGGAATTTGAACTGAGGGCTGAATGTGATGCTTGTGCCATAAACCTCATGGTGTCACAATGGCGACAGTACAGAGTCACAACCACATGATGCCACACAGGTTGTAGACTGAAGTGAAAATGTGTCATATGTTATTCTTTCTTTCTTGTTGCCAATTCATCTTCAAGTGAAAGAGTTGTGAACTAGCTTTAACACCAGACTGCCACAAACAACCACTGCTCAAACTAAAGCTGACGAATGCCACCCAGTTCACGTTGCACTCCACGATTTAAGTTTCTGTTGAAGTGAGCGAGTTATTTCTCTGTGAGCTGTTTCAGAAGTATGTTTCACCACACACACACACACACACACACACATACCTGCACAGTGTTCTGCCCTCTGCATCGTGTTTTTAAAGGTTCTAACCACTGGATGCCAGCAATACACACTTTTAAAAGTTCACATCACCTACCTCCTTTTATTTTTTTGTTGGTGTGACGATGTTTAAAGGTGAAAGCTAGCGTTCCAACACGTTCGCCGTCTCACTATCATCTGAGGCGGGGAGAAGTATTTCAATTTAACACAACAGTGACTCACTAATCCACAAAGATCTGCCTCGACAGGTGTTAGCATTTGACAGCTCAGTGGATCGGCTGTGACACAAGATGCATAATCATGTGTCAGGTCTGTTTTCTTTACTCTTCATGCAAACCAATTACCTTCCTGTTGTTTCTGGGACTGCAGCGATCCTGTCTCCTTCTGTAATCTTGCCAAAAAAAAAGACAGGATCCTCTGGAGCTTTGATTGGTTTTCTGTGCAGCAGAAATGAATTGGTGTGAGTACACTGGTTTAGCCTTATCCCTCATACTGTGCCGGGGGATTTTGTTCAGATTTAGTTTTTTTGTGTTGATCTGTAGCCTATTTCCACCATACTGTAACCAATAGGTCACGAGATGTGACTACAAAAGGCAGCTTGTGTGAGCCCTCACATCAGGGTTGGATTTAATCTGCAACACCATTGTTCATAAACCCAAATTTAAAGATGTATTTTACAAAACCTTGTTTTTTTTCTGTCAAAATGTTCAGTAAGCTTTCATGTGATATGTTTGTTCATGGGAGGATCCTGTTTTACTAAAGGCTGCCTGACCTGTACATGTGTTGAACTCCAGCAAAAGCAACACAGAAACAATTAAAATGTATTTGTCTTATTTCCTCTATTTGAAAATAGATCATGGAGGAGTCATAATTCCCTGAAAACAAGTCAACACAGAATCTTGTTTC